ACATCTGAATCTGTTAAAAGTACTATTCTACAAAACCCTTGCAAACTCATTTCATCATTAAAGGGACACTATAGTCACCCCAACAACTTTAGCTTAATGAAGCAGTTTTGGTGTATATATCATGCCCCTGCAGTCTCACTGCTCAGTTCTCTAAAAGTCTTTGAGAAAAATGATTTGGCATACTCAATATGCACCTAGTTGATACTGTAACATGCTAATTGTGGCATTCTTAGGGATTAAACTTGCAGCTCTGGGTTCCTGCATATTGGCAGCATTGGACAGTCCCAACGAGCTGCCTACACACTATTTGCCTACAATAATGTCACTGTAGTGTAGAATATCAACAAAACAAAAACAAAAAAACAAAGCAGAGGGCAGCACGACTGAGTAACAAATACACACAAGGGCTACATGTATTTGTTTAAAGGACAACATTGGAAATATAGGCCTTTTGCATTTCAATGCATATAGAGTTATTTAGGAAAGTCAGAATTCAAAGTAAGTTTAAAATTTGGTCTCAGTTGGGCCTGAAATTTGAAATTCACTTTAGATTCACTTTGATTTCTCACTTTATTGATAACCAATGTACTTCGTAGTCCTTAGTGTACGGAAATTATGGATTGAAAAAGGGGATAACCCTAAACATTTGTATGTTTAGTTTGTCCTTCAGATAGATACCTGTAGCACTTTTATGCACTTTGCATCCAGTAGTGCTGCCCTTTGTATTTCTGTTATTTGTGACTCTTCCCCTGAAGGAGCATCACTGGGTGAGGTCAAGGCCGGATAAAGAGCCCATTGGGCCTGGTGCCGACAATTATAATGGGCCTAAATACAGAATCTTATTGACAGAAAACACTAAAACAGTCATACTTCCCAAGCGTCTTGTATCTGGTGGAGGTGGTGCTCTACATAGCTTATATTATGCTAATCTCTCTCTTTCTTCTTTCAAATAAATCCATAGCCCCTAACAGCAGTGACTGGTGAAGCAGGATTTCGGTGGATGGGGTAAGAGAGTGGGCCACTGATGCAAATTATGTAACCAGAACCGCCCAAAGGGGCAAAAATGCCCCAAAAGGGGTGTGTCTGCATGAAGAATTCGATGGTCAGCCTGGCATGAATGCATGTCATCGGTTAATCATGCAGGATAACCAACCAAAGGCATACTTTGCAGACAGCACCCTGAGCTTGGCATAAATGTGTCTAATGATGCACTAGTCCTACACTTTCTAAGGACTGTCCCCTAGCACTCACTTGTCCACTCCTCTCCTTACCGTCTTACTAGCAGGCAGAACTCCTGTTATACAGTCTGGGACAAAGAAAAAGTGTATGTAGCAAGTGTAGAAGAAATGGGAGATGCCACAGTGTTAGAGAGACTGAAGCAGCAAGAGCATACGCATAGTGTGCAAAGTCTACTTTACCTTAACTAATATCATTGGCAGCCAGTCCACACCAGTTTTGTTCCCATAAATCCCTCTTAAGTTTCCATACTTAAGCAAGAGCATGTGAAAAGTGATTTAAAAAAAATATATATATATATATTTTTTTTTTTTTTCTACTATTGTGCCATAGGCATGTGCCTAGAGCTGCAGATCTACCAGCTCTTATGTTAATCCGACCCAGGGTGAAGTGACAGCTGCACATAGTGAATCCTTTCCGCAGTCATTGCGTGGAGACTATTACTGTTACCCGACATAAATTATCTGGATACGTGTTAAATTTTGTTACCCCCAAAACTCAAACTTTACTGTATAACTAGAGGATTGAGTTTGACATCTCTCCTGTGGATCCAACCAAACACAATACCGTGCCCAAATACAAGAGGAACAGAGCGGATACCACTCAGTCTTCTCTCTGTTTGGCTTTCTAGTCTATAAATCAAGCAAATGTATTCTCAAAGGATAGATTTCTTTCTTTTTTTTTGTATAATCAGCCTAGTCCATTCAGTGTGTTTCTAATAGCTGAGAGAAGCATTGTGAGATGAGGACATTCTTTCCCTCTAGCACCTATTACAACCTGCGCTCGGGCTCTGCTTCATCGTGGTGTCTATAGCTCATTCGACAGTGACAGGAAATAGTCTGCAGTGAATGTGCTTTCCCATGACATACTGGAAATATTTGACTCCCGTGCCACATTCATCAGAGGTGGGAGAAGGTCTGTCACTGGCTAAAACGGGTACATTCATTGTAATGCCATCAAGATATCTCTCTTTTTCAGGACAAAGCAGAAATGATCTGTAGTTTGGTTCCACTTAAAATGTGCTCGCTTTTTAACTGCTTAAAGATTTCATATTTCCACTGGGGAATGTGGTTATGTCTTTTCCCAGGATAACACTTGAGTAAAACCATATGAATTTCTAAGCATAGATAAAATTATATAAATAGAATGGAAATAAAGATATTTCTAAAGTATTATTCATGACATTATGTGCTTATAGGAGCATGAATTAATAATATGTTGTACATCGTAGCTTTTATATTATATTTTAAAGATAGTATCGCCAGAATAAAAGCAGCCTGTTAGCTGAATATCTCACTCATATATCTGGGAACACATTTTCCCAATACCCACTACAACTAATTAAACAGACAACGAGTATGTCATGTCCAAGCACAACCATTTCCTTCTGAATTTATGCGGTGAATGGTGAGCTGTAATGAACCAACAACCAGATTTAAGCAAAAAACTAGACACAAAATGTATCTGATGTTGATGTTTTGGATAAAGCTGTACATCCGTTCCAAGTGATAAGAACATAATTTCAGTTGACTAAATCACAATGCTTGCCCCCATTAAAGTAATAGCCTGTGTGGGCTTTGAGATGTAAAACTCCTGTCTCAAGTAACAATATAAGATGAAGCCTAGTACTGAGTTACTAATAACTTATTATAAATAAGGGGTTTTAAGTTTATCTTTTTTAGTGACTCCAAGAAAGACAACTGGATTGGCTGACACCCAGGTCAAACTCTACTCGTTGCACTCTAAATGTCACTTCTGGTCATTTATGTCTTTCCTTTAATTATTTTATCTATTTATTTATAAAATATTTCACCAGGAAGGATACATTGAGATTTCTCTCGTTTTCAAGTATGTCCTGCGCAGCGATTCTGCCATCATTTATGTTGTCTTTTTTTAAGACATATCATTGGTGTTAAATAATGCCAATAGCTCAGATAAGATTTATATCCGTGGATTATGAAGTTGCTGCACTCCTTAGGCCAACATCCTAAAATTATAGCATAGGAAACAAATTAACTGTTCAGGACTTTGTGCAAGGAAAGACGATTGGGAACCCTGAGTTTTAAGCCAGGTCTTCCTGTTCTAGATAATGGATCTTCATGTATAAAATGGCATTTCGTAATGTGTCCATTGCCGGTTGGCAAGACAAAACATTTGTTTTTGTAACACTCATAGATAAACTCAACACAGCCTAACAAGCTAAATAAAGAGAAACTTCAAGCCCCCAAACATATCTTGTTAGTATGCAGAAATCATTATACCTTTGCAATAACTGCTCTGAATCTAAAGTGCCCCCAGTGGTCAACTTGTGGCACTGTTAATTGTTTAAAATGTTAAGAAAATGAATAAATAAAACCAGTGCAGTTTTTTTTTCCAAAACGGGGTAGTCCAATCATCATTGCTCTTGTGACTCTTTGTCAGTATACAATAAGAAGATGCTACCCTGAGCATTGAATTACTTGTAATATTCTATGTTTACGCTCTCTGCTTTTACATTGCTATGCCAGTGATTTGAATGCATAATAGAACATTCTTATAGTTTGTACATAATAGATAGATATTTGTGTATCTAATTTAGAGAATGAATTATGGTCTATGAGACACCGACTGACTTTTGAGTCATTTGTGCAGTTGATTAGCCCCTTAAGGACAAAACTTCTGGAATAAAAGGGAATCATGACATGTCCTACATGTCATGTGTCCTTAATGGGTTAAGGCATTGGCTTATTTTATTGGAAGTCTTTTCTTAAAAAAAAATGGTTTTGAAGATTTGAAGTCTAAACTGTTGACCTAAACAATGGCTCAAAGGGCATGTTGAGACAGTTTGCGTTTTGATATGTTTACTTCCAACTGAAAGACATATTGGCTGTGACTGCTTGTCTGTAGAGAGAAGAGATGTTTACCATAGACAGTTTACATGATTATTTTGATTTACTAAATTGCCAGTGTCACATGTTTACCACGGCTAATGTGACTACACTAACCGCTTGCATTATTGACACTTATAAACTAAACAGTTATCTATTGGTGATCTGTATATGTATTTATAACATCATTCTTTATTTTTTATTATTTGTCGAAAAATTATCACAATAGACAATAAAAGACTTACATTTAAAAATATAAACAAAACAACTATACAACAATAAATACATTCCTACAGTTCTAGCACTCTAAGATACCAATTTTTTTATTTATTATCCTTAATTATCACCTTATTTAGGTGGACCTAAAATAGTTATTCACTGTCTATGACAAACCATGTAAACATAAAAACATACAAACATAAAGTCATACTGTGTCGAGATCTATAAATCCTGACAGATAGTGCCTTACTATAGGGCTTGATATTTTCCCCTTTTCTTTTCCCTTTTCTCTTACTTTCTCTCTCTTCTTCTCCCTTTTTTTTTAATAAAATATACGCTATAAAAAGCCAAAAGACAGCTTTATACAGAGAAGCAAAATATAGAAACAACCTTATGAAAATATAGAAACAACCTTATGAACATATCAACAGTGTTAGCTCTCTAAGATATAAAGTTATTAAAACATTTTTCTAATCTGTCTCTATATTCATTAGTTATTTGTCATACTAAGTTTATCATCTTTGATTCTTCTCAAAAAAATGTTAAGATATTATTCACTACTAGTGATGTCCCGAACAGTTCACCGAACGGTTCGCGAATGGTTTGCCACGAACGGTTCGCCGCGGACTCATCATTGAGTAACCTTTGACCCTGTACCTCACAGTCAGCAGACACATTCCAGCCAATCAGCAGCAGACCCTCCCTCCCAGACCCTCCCACCTCCTGGACAGCTCACTAAGAATGCAGCTTCACAATGAATGTAAAATGGATGCTGTCCAGGAGGTGGGAGGGTCTGGGGGGGAGGGTCTGCTTCTGATCCAATATACATACTGTGCCAAGATCCAATAATAGATACTTTATTTTCCTTATGTAGGGCTTAATTTTTTTACCCATTCCTCCCATTGTTCTATTCTACAATTAGTATAATTAGCTTGTCTCAGGATTCCAATCTCCATTTTGCAATGGTTCAGGACCTGATATTTTATCATATTCCAAGAGGGGGAATCAGATAATTTCCAGTATCTTACTAATGTTGCTTTAGTCTCCGTTAAGATGTGAATCACTATATCTTTTTTGCTTCTTGAAATTCTAGGCCAACCCAGATGTAGTACAAAAGACCTACAAGTACTTTTTTAAACTTTTAAGTTTTACAAACTTTTTACAAACTTTAAGATTTGCACTGCACAAGCAGGCTATTCCGGCCATGTGATTGCAATGACCCTGTGATCATATGGCACGGTGGGGGGGGGAGTAGAATAGACACAGGAGGACTGCCTGGGATGCCAGGCAAGTCCCCACATCGCGATTGCCGGCAGGAGATTGACAGCGATCAGGTAATTGGAGATTTGCTATCAGACGTACCAGGTACGTCCGAGGTCGTTAACAACGTTCAAAGATGCTCTCGGAATAGCAAATTTGACTATAAGTTGAATTACCAAAAAGATTTACTGATTAGAATGATTGTGTTTTAACTTGTTAATGTAGAGGTTTTGTTCTATATTTTAATATATGGTTTGCCTATTACATATGCCCCTCGTGCTTCCATTAGATGGTGCTATAGCTAGATAATTCTGGATCATGGACCCAAGCTAAATACAGCAGAATTTTACTATCTCACACACAGTGTAATCTTCATGAAAAAATATCAACAGAAAGTGCATGGATTTTTGGTATGTTTCATTTATTGGGATAAGCTATGTAGTATTTTTGAGTCTTATTGAGTTCTAGGCTACAGGGGACATTTTCAAACTTTGGCATGCCATAAGATGGATTATAGCCCATTCATGAGGGATAGAATGCCAAGCCAGTCACAATATTAGTTTTTGACTTTTTCTACAATTCATTTTCCATCTTTTTGTAATGAAAATAGATTTGGAACAGAAACAGAAACAAAATGTGGAGACTAAAAAATGTTTGTCCGAACCTAATTCTAACTTAGATCTTTTTTCGCCCATACTTTCTCAACCTACATCTTTCGCAGTTTTTTTCCCCCCATGTTCTTATTATCCTAAAAACAATAGCAATACTAAAGTGTTTTATTTTACAGTCTTTTATACAGTGTTTAATCGTCATATTAGAAGCAAGTCTAAATTGTTTTTTGTTTTTTTAAACTATTATCTAAATAATAGATTTATATAAAAAACAGTGTTAGTATTATTTTGTCTGGAATTTACATTAAATATCACATGGGAAAACAGATATACTGTGACTCATTTTAACTTTCCTTCTAGTAATACTTCATTTTATTTTATTATTGACGAATGAGCAGCTGACAGTTCAGTCCAAGCATAGTCACAGCATTTCATTTCTCCTTTTCTTTGTATGCTCTCTCTGTGCTAACTGCCAAGTGGAAAGCACAGAGCTTATAGCAATGGTTGACAATCATAGATGGAGGCGTCCGTTGGTAGGATAAATAGGAATGCATTTCATTATTTAATTTTTTTTCCACACCTTAAAAATACATTATTGTTTAAGATAGGGGATAATTAAACATAATATTCAAAATCCTGAAATGTAACCAACTTGGTTTTTTTTTTCCTTCACCCTCCACGAAGGTTGATGTAACTTCTCAAATTCTCTTTGGAAGATTAAAGCAATGTCAAGGGATTGATAGAAACGTAATGTCTATTATTGTTTAATAGGGTATTGATCTACCCCTTGTAAAATCATTATGTTTCTGGGAGTGCAATGGACCCATTAGCTGCTGGAATGGTTGGATGTCAGATGTGCAATGGAAGGAGAAGAAATTGGATCCATGGATCTTTTTGTTAACAGATCATCCCGGGGTCTTTTATTGGCACTGAAAGTAATTACACCAGTATTGCCAGGAACTATGACAGTGGAAATGATACCCGTTATGATATTATCGTGGATTGCTACGTATTCACACTGTAATGTCTACACTGATAAATTGACTCTTTGACCAGTTATGGTCAGGAGTCTGGCTTAAGCTACACACTCAACAATTAATGAGGCATGGACAGCAGCTTAATAATTTAGCACGCTATTGTTTGTTACACTGACTGCTCCAATTATTAAATGTAAAACTTGGGAAGTAAATATCTCACCAACCCAAGAGGTGCATGTATCAAACAGATGTTATTATTGTAAGTGGAATAATACTTCAACAGTCTACGCCAATAGTTGGGACAGTTATTGCAACTTATTCCAACATTGCTGAATCAACCAGTCAGGTAAAAGAGTTGTTCTGCCTCTGTGTTATCAGTATATGTAGACATCTTTTCAAGGAAGTGTTCTAATAAAAATAGTAAATTCAAACTGTAAGTGAAGCTTGCAAGGCCATGAGAGAGTGGGTCATGAGCTGTGTTTGAGCTAAAATCAACATTAACTTTACTTGACATTGAGTTACAAGTAAGTTATACCTAATGTAACATTGTGACATTGTGTGTTTGCGTTATGGTTACTTATCCCTGAATTTAAAATAAATGTAGATAGATAGATAGATAAATAGATAGATAGATAGACAGATAGATAGATAGATAAATTAGACAGACAGACAGATAGATTGATTGATTGATTGACTGATAGAAAGATAGATGGATAGATAGATAGATAGATAGATAGTTAGATAGATGATAGATAGATAGATAGATAGATAGATAGATAGATAGATAGATAGATAGATAGATAGAGGCAAACCTACAGATGCACTAACAGATTTAGTTTTCTGAAAACTTTAATGAAACTATAATTTTTAACATACTGGATGCAATGAAAAGAACTGAAAGTAAAATAAAATGCTGACAGAATTTTAAACACTCCGAGCAGCTTCTTACACGATGTTCTACTTTGTATAAAACTCTTTGTTCTCATTAGTGTTCAGCAATTGTATTAACTATGCATCAGGTGTGAGCAAAAGTTGTTGATTGTACCGTCTTCCCCATTGCAAGTTACCCACGGGTGCTATAACATTTGAGACATCTGTTCAACACCTGGATAATTTCATGTTTATCAATGTGTGCGTGTTTGTTTTTAACTTCTTATGAAGTATTTTGAAGTCTTTCATTTTGTCAGAATTCCTAGAGGAGAGATGTGAAACAATGAAACCTCATATATTTGCATGTGATTTAATATATATTTTTGTAATATGTCCACTCTAGGAATGCTGGGTAGTTAAAGGGACGTTATCAGAGGGACAGTTTAACATAGGGTTCGATGTGCTGGGAGTTGTTTCGGGTAATAAGCTTCATTTTTTTTTATAAGGAAAGATAAATCAAATCATTATTTGTTTTCCTTTATTATACTTCTAGTATCAAGATGTCCCAAAGAAAATTGTGCTAACAAAAACGACATTGGATAGTATAATTTGTAAAGTCGAAAAAATCCCTCAGTTTCTTGAAGCAGAGATCTTACATCAAAATCAGCCATGAAGTATCAGTGGGATGTATGAAGCCTCACGAGGGCAAATCCACCCAAACAGTATCTGACTATCATTGTTGTCAAAAACTGAATCATCTACTGTGGACGTGGTAAAACCCTCTACCAAATGGTCTGACTCTAGAATATATATTGTAAATATTCCTTGAGGAACACATTTCTTATGTCTAAACTTGAGACGCTCTTGTAGATGGTCACAATCGTATTGATGCCGTACTTACAGCATTATTCACTTAAGTGAGACATTTCTAATTTAAGGGAAAAGTAGCTAAGCCGAAACAATTCTCCAAGTCACTAATTCATCACCAGTTCATCTACGTTGGCCTTAAATTTGAAATACATTTTACATTCGCTTTAAATTCCTGACAATTGTCATTTTAGTGAATAACAATTTGTCACTATTCTCTAAAAAGGGTAAAGACCTTATGATTTAATGCAGTAATCAACCAATCTTCTTTTTGGACCTAGATCTGAAATATTTCGACAATATATTGCCATGACAAAACTCTTTTTTCCTAATCTGATTCATTCTGGTCTGATGGGTTTATTCCTGATGTTAATGATGGCAATTAACCTGATCAGAATGAAATAGAAAGAAATAGGCCCCGACTAGACACGTGCTGACATTATTCCTGGTGGGTAATTGTTAAGGAGACCATTTGAGTTGGAACAACTGAATAAACTAGATTCTGTTAGACGTATGATCCAATGCCTTACAAAGAAAAACTGAAACAAAATTATTTTTCATCACCTAATTTAAAAATCAGGAAACCCGTTCTGTAAAATGAAAAAATCTGAATGTGTTTATTGTCATAAAGCCCTTTACAATAAATATATGGGGTAACTTTTATAAAAAACATATTAAAGCTAATGGTTTAGATTGTGCTACTTATGCATTGTGTTGTTACTCTTTCATCTTGCTACATTCTGTCAGGTTTCATGACATTACTGGGGACGAATGTGTTTAGCATTGTAAACAGAAACAACAAGACATTCTGAATAAGTCTCAGTGATACATTGAATTAATGTCTGGTCACTTTACCACATGCAACCCATTGAATGATACAGGATGCTGTGCTGAATCTCATCACCACTAGTGCTTCCCGTAAAGTCTTTGATAATGAAGTCTTCACGCTAGGAAAGTAAATCCATGTTGATTAAAGAACTCAAAGAAAAAGGGTATACATTATGTATGGAGTAGTGAAATGAATATGCAAATTATGTATATACACTCAAGAGACATGACAGCATTTTGGCAAACAAATTACAGTGCTATGTACATTTACATACACTACGCATTTCATGGACTCTTGGCCCTTCCATTTGAAATGCGTTGGGATGTTAGATACGACTGAAAAACTCTTTCAATCCAGTTGAAAATTTCATGTGTTATCGTTATGGCCTTGGTATAATATTTTGGACATACGTT